TGAGCTGTGACCCTGTAACAGTCAAATACATTTTATATTTTATTTATTTATTTATTATTTATTTATTTATTTATTTTTGCAGAACCAGGGATTGAACTCAGGCCATTGCCCTTGCCAGGCAAGCATCTATTCTACTGAACCATCTCCCTGGTCACCTCTTGTGAGTTTAAATGTCAAGGTTTTTTTCTGTTTCTTTAGAGGTGCTCATGTCAGTCACTATTTTGAGACATTTTCAATTGAAGTGATTTAAACTGCAGACATCAAAGGGGTATATGTATTTAATACTTATTAGTGATTAAATATTTAAATTAACAAAACAAATTATGTACACACTGTATAATTATTTATTTATTTATTTATTTATTTATTTATTTATTTATTGTTGATATCTTTTTCCATGGCAAGGTGAGATTAAGATATCTGAATGAAGCTGGTCCTCACTTGACCAGCCACTTTCACTGTCGGGTGCCCCTGGACCATGGGGACACATGTATCACCTCTTTGAATGTGAAAAGTAACTGGCAGCCTAACAAGAGTGAGCCCTCCTCAAAATCAAAACATATTGAGGGACTGCACATTTAAAAAAATAATTCTGTGGAAACATCTTACTTCCTTGATCTCTAAGTTTCTTTTATTCCCATTATTGGAAAAATGTGAATTCTTTCTTCCCCACACAACTATAGACAACAGAGGACAGTGAAGAGATTTTAAAAGGGTTTTAAAAGCTTTCTATTTATTTCTTACAATACCGAAGGATCTTTGTTATACATGTTTATTTATTTAGGAATTTTGATTTTCCCTTTTATCTTAAATTATGTCTTAAAATACACTGTAATATTATGGAACATCAACATATAATATTGCTAATATAACCCTGGGTTATTAAGGTTCCTGATTCTGCATAACACATAATCTACTCTAAAGAGAAAATTAAGCATATTCTGACTAAAATTCACCCTGAAATTACATGGTTTAGGTACTTAACTTTCACTTGCCTCATATTTTAAGAATTGGACTTAAATTTTTATTCTTATTTTAAAAAGACCTCACCTCTGTATCTTATTCTTAACATTAACATCATAGCTATAAAGTATGTCAATTAATACTAATAAACTTAATACTCAGCAAAAAAATCTCTTCATCCATTTACGTTCTAAATAAAACTGGCTCCTGTGACTGAGACTACTTTTTCCTCATTCAGGTATTTTCCTTATTCTATCATGGTACTTTCAAGGAATGAATGGATCATATGAATGAATGAAAGTATTGATTTGTAGTAGGAAAGAAAACCATGGCCATTTCTGAGTCTCCCAGTTTATTAATTCCACTTTAATATCCTACAAAGGGCTACTAGGTACACTGAGAGGACTCCTACCCATTATGTTCAACATTTTACAAACATAAAATATACTATAAATTGTATTTTATTTTAATATTTTTATGAATTATATTTTTTTCCTTTCTAGACATTAGAAATTTTGAGGGCATGTTTGACCAACCTATGACTTTTAATAAAAAGAATAAATAAAGAATCCAACATTCAGGCATTGAAACTGAAATCATTAATTGACTTATCCATTTAAACAGCCAAACTCTAACCATTAACATCATTGGAGCTTGTTGAACATCATGTTAATTCATTTCCTAAACTGCACAGATGTCACGGTGGAGAGATTGGCATTGGAAAGTGCGTGTAGTATATCCTCTATGATGATTCTCAGTTCTAGCCTGGCCAATAACAGAGTTGATTGTTTTATAATGTGCATAACCATTTAATTAATTAATTAATTTTATGTATCTAGTACAATGTCTACAGGGTTTCACTACACAGATTGGACTCATAGTGATCCTCCTGTTTTCAGCCTCCCAAGAGCTGGGATTACAGGCGCTCACCACACCCAGTCTCAATGGCCATTTCAAAGCACCCTGGGGTAGGGCCAGCACAGCATGCCGGGAATCGAACCCCTGTCTCTGTGTCTGCCTAACCAGGCACTTAAATCCACTGAGCTATCTGGCCAGGCCAACCATTTTAATTTAAAAGTCTAATATTAGATAATCTGTTTCTTTCCTCCAAGTATTTTATCCCATGTCAAAAAATATCAAGAGATGAAGGGCCAATGCTTATTTGAGAAAAGATGTGTAGAGGTAACAAAAATGGCAGTGGTGTAGCCCTCTCCTACGAACAACTGTGAGACAATTTGTGTCTAAGCCTAGTCACTCAATACTTAAGAAATGAATTATACTAAAATAAATTTAAAGTTATACTGTTTTGCAATCATGAAGTCACTATCAATACTTTGTTTTCATTGATACACAATTATTTATGCATAAAAATAGAGCTGGGCGAAGAGCTCAGTGGCATAAACACCTGCCTGGCAAGTGCAGGGTCCTGAGTTTGATCTCTGTACCAAAAAAATAAATAAATAAATAAATAAATAAAAAAACAAAAATCAAAAGAATTTTAATTCTTTACATGAAAGGTGATGAATTATCCAAAACTTTGTTTAAAACTATTAAGTTATTCCACTTTTTTTACTCAATTTTTACCCCATATTAACATTTTGCAAATATTATTTTCTTTTACCCGCTGATGATGTATGTATATTTCCACATAGGCAATATACTAACAAGTGTAGAAAGTTACATTCACCAAATAATACCTACACAAATCTTAAATATCTCATATCTAATAAATAGACTGCATTTCCCAGAACATCTGAAAATTTGAAACATGGACCATGTCAAATAACTTTGAGTAGAGAAAATCAGAAAAGAGTAAACTCTTCTTATTTCTTATGATTCAGGTTAAAATTCCAAAAGACCTTGAGGAGCTACACAAAATGTTAGAAAAAGAATGTCAAAAGCTTAACTTTTAATTCTACAATCTTTTAAATTTTAATTCATGTTTATGGGACAAAACTTAATCTGTTGGAATCATCGCACCCGAGAATACTTTTCTAAACATAGGCATCTCTTTCCAAGGTATATCAAGATATTTGTCTAAATTATGCCTCCACATTGAAAATTTTCTTAAAAACATACTATTAATCTTGAAATGTATACTTAAGCCTCCCAAAATATGAAGAAAGTTATTATTCAGTAAAATACCTTGAAAATAACTAGCAAGTGCTGTCCAAGGACATAATACCACGGGATTGATGATTTATGTTATCTGGGGGTTTGAGTTTAAGACTCTTGCGTCTCAGTAGCAAAATGTAGCAGCCACATTTTAAAGTTGAAAACAGAAATGTTGATGCCATAGATGCCCAAAATTTGTTTTTTGAAAATTTTTGAAAGAGGACAATTTGAATAATTTATTATTCATGTATACGGGTCAATATGTATGTAGGTAAAACCTTCTTTTAGAAATTAAGAGTAATTTTTTATTACAGAAATTATTATAAAAACCCCATAAAAGGTTTGGAATTGAAGAAAAATAAAGTTAAAAATTCTTTTGTTGACTCGTAAGTAATAGTTGGAGACATATTTCACAATAACGTCTCTCTTCTACTACCTAAACATTTTTTAGAAAGTAGGAGTTATTCCATAAAAGACTTGTTTAAGGGGCTGAGAAGATAGCTCAGTGGAATAAGCACTTGCCTAGCAAGCACATGGGAAGGGGCTGAGTTCAATCCCGGGTTCCACCAAAAAACTAAAAGACTTGTTTAAAAATCTTCTGATATGTATTATGCCCAAACAGTGAGGTAGGTAATTTGTACCAATTACTATTACTTGTCTAACAATTCTATATAACTTTATAAAAATATTAATTCATGCTTAAAAATAAATATTTTAATTTAACTGATCCTTCTAATCTTAGATTATCAAATCAAACACAGGTGATCTAAAGAGCCCTGAATTTGTGAGTAAACCTGTGTATTTAAAAGCTTGAATAAAATAATTAATCTATGAAATAATTACTCAAATACTTAGTGTTTGAATAAATTAATTTAAAACTAAAAGGTCTTTTTTTAAAAAATTGTTATGTCATTAAAAAAGTGTTTCTTGGAAATACTTTTCGGTGAAAACGTTGATATGTAAACCAAAGATTTCTTTAGGAGACCTATTTGAGTAACATCATTTTACCTGACATCCTAGAACTATAAAGCTTGTTATTACCCACAAGAGAAAATACTAGTTTCTGTTCTGAAATTGGAATACATTTTAGCAAAACCAATCTGTGCTTGGGAAATTGCATAGAAATCCATTAACTCCATACACATTTAAATACAATAATACACTGACTACTTCTCATGCAAGTTATATAGATATTAATGCAGTTAATTTAGTAAATGCACAAACAGTTTGATAAAAACGCACACAAGCAACACAGACACCACACACTCCACTCTTGCACTAGAGAAAGTAACAAAAAGGAGTGCACTCACAGAGAGAAAACTTGTGGCTGTTGTCTTTGCCTGGAAACAACTTAAATCCTCTAGATTTAAAATCTATGGCCTTTTTCACTAGTTAAGAAAACAAACAAAAACATGTATCAGGAAATACAATTTGAAATGAAATTCAAGTTAACCAATTTTGTTAGCATGGAATTATGCAAGTTAAAGAAGTTGCTTTTTAAGCCTGATACAGGGCACCGAGAGGAAAATAAAAATATATAAAACAAGATAATCTAGTAGTAAAACACTACTCAGTGTACAAAATGTTTTCACATTACTTATGGAGAAACCTGAATAAATATACAGCTACTTTTAAACTGTGCAAGTTTCATATAAAATCAAAGCTTTAATACTTTCTAATAAACCACATGAACTCACTAAGCTTTATGGAATAAATTGCTCTATAATAACAAATCATGCTGTGGCTTTGGAATAATGGGAAGAATTTAGTGATCTTGGGATTTAAAATAAATTACATACAATTTAGTCTGTTTGAAATATTCAGAAACATTTCAGAAATTGATATACTTGGCAAATTAATACCTTTTAAACCTACAAATAAAATATTTTTCTTCAATTGTAATTGCTTTAGACACTTTGATATCTATCCACAGTGTACTAGAAGTGAATTGCAACTCTTTGGAATCTTGATCCTACTCGTGTACAAGCAAAGCTCTCATGATACTGAATGTCAACGTCATAATATATGATATATTATATTACGGACTATTTTAGATTAAATGTATATCATCTAAGATAAGTTGAAACATAGACATTCAACAGAATAGCCTGAGAAATGATTTTACACATATGAAATATGTTCATCTCTTTTCAAGTAATTTGGAAGAAGACAAAGATGTTTTCTTTTCTTTTGGTATGAATATTTAATTAGTAATATTATATTTTGTACCTAAAATCAAACTCATAACCTCATGGTTGCCAGACAGGCACTCTGACACTGAGTTATATCTCTTGCTTAGTTAATTATAATTGATACAGATTTTAAAAGTAATACTTCAGAAGACTACCCTTATTTAATAACTTATTGATGTAATTGATACCAAATAAAATAAAAATATCTATGTAATTAAAACCTCATTAATGAAAAAAGTGTTACAGAATCTGACCCAATGTTCAAATATTAATATTTTCTTTAAAAAGAGCATGAAAATAAACCAAGTGGTATATTCAGTTTGAACAATTATTGCTTAGAATATTTTGCATATTGATTTTTATCAGGTTTGTAGTGAAGCATAAGGACCTTGAATATAATGCATTTAGATTTTATTCATGCTATAAATCTGCAGAAAGTACAAGTGATTTTTATTTGATATCAATAGTTTTAAACAATTATTTCATTAATTCTACCCAAGGAGTTCGGATTATGGGTAATTTATTGATTTAGAAAGATTTTTAAGTGACTTTTCCCACCAATAATACCTTCAGGAAGATAGAGAGATGAGAGTTTGATAGTCACTGGAATATGTGGGTAGGAACTATTTATAAATACATGTAAGTTAATGAAAGGAAATGATCATTAGAATGAGATCAAGGCCTAATTCTTGGCATTTATTGACTATTTCCTTTGGGACAAGTATTTGTCTTTTTACTTTAGTTCCTTCTCTTTAAATAAGCAGCGAGAGCAAGAGCACAGCTTTGCTCTTTGGTGTCCAGGAGTATTTGTCTGTGACTTCCACTGAGACTACAGGGGTTACTACAACCCACTGAAGCCAAGCTTCTTCTTGTAATTCATCCATAGCCTCATGGTAATCTACATGTAATTCTTGGGAAGTATTCAGCTACTCTCAACTTAATTTTATCACTTGTGAAATTTCCTGCTGCCTCAAAACACTTTCAGCAAATTTTGTCTTTTGTCTTTTGCGCATAGTACTGATTTTTCTATTCCCAACACGAATCATAAGTAGGAATCTACCTCCATTTTTATCTACATTATAAAGCTTGCCATTTTAAGTACTATAAGTGAGTCTGAAGATTTCCTGGCAGCTTTAATTCAAATCTTAAATGCAATAAATAAAATGTTGTATACTCTAAAAATCAAATAGTTGGGCCAGGGAAATGGCTCAGTAGAATAAGCGCTTCCCTGGCAAGCGCAGGAGCCTGAGTTCAATCTCTGGTTCCACCAAAAAATAAAGAAAGAAAGAAAAAGCAAATAGCTTAGGAATATTCTATGGATTAAAGAGTTCATTGTCATAAATAATGCTGCACTGCTATGTGAAGTGTGAATACCATTCATACAGAAATGTGTTATAATAGGATGTCGCCGTGTCTCTCCAATTTATGGAGATGATTATGTTGAGCAACATAAATTGTACTCTGAAGGACGGATTTCACCCCTTTCTCCTAAAGTGATTTTCCTAACACCTAAAAAAGATGATGGGAAAATACACGAACAAATATTATTAGACAAGAAGGGAAGAAACAGAAGTGAGGACATTGTTAGGGTCAGTGACTGGGATCATGAATATGATCCAACTACTTTATAAACATTGAAATCCCACCAAGACTATGTGAAACTGGGGGATGTGGCATAAGGAAGGTAATGAGGAGAGCGGTTGAAGCATGTCCCAGGCATGTACAAATCTACCAAAAGGGAACTCATGAATCAATATATTCAACATGCATTAACAGAAAGGTAGGAAACTGTTATACTAAGACCCATGGGCATTAACTGCCCTCAAAAACGCCCCCTGCCCCTTGCTAGTAATGCACATATCCCACTGTTCATGCTACATTTTGAACAAATTCTGGGAGTCCTTGTTCAAGTGTTTTAGTTGTGCTGTTGTTGCTGCTGCATATGCTGACCTGATTCAAAGGTTTTGCCTGGCTCCACCACTCTGATTTTGGGACAGAGTAAAGAATCCCAGGGTTCTAGATCTGGTGAATAAGTTAGATTTGGACACATAACCATATTTTCTGAGATGGCTCTTCTGTTGCATGGTGCTAGGCAGGAGGGTTCGCTGCATTTTTTTCAAATCACACTTCTAGAAAACTTCTAGTACTGCTTCACAAAGAGGCAAGATAATCCTAGAACTCCAAGAGCCTGAGGCTGAAAATTTGAATCCAGAGTGAGCTGTGTAGGGACTTAGTAAAAACCTGTTCAAAATTAAAATAAAAACAGTTGGGGATCTAGCTCATTGCAAAGGTATTGATTTTAGTTCTTTGTACACACACACACACACACACACACACACACACATGCACGCACGCACACACACAGGTGGCAATAACAGTGGGATAAGTGCATTCCAGGTGAGGGAAAATTTTTGGAGGGACTAATGTCAAGGTTTTTACTATACTTTTTAAAATGTAAAGATTCTTGGCATATTTTGATCAGATCATTTGTTATATGTGGGGCTCGGAAGTTGTACAAGCAGGGAGAGGGCACGATTCTGTACATGCCTACATCTAGGCTGGATTATCTGGCTGCATGAAATGAGGGACAACTTCTGACAATAAAAACAAGTGAATTCTTTCTTCCAAGATGGAATCACTTCAGACAAAGAACATTTTGCTTATTTTCCTCTTCTCATTTTTAGCACCCATATATTAATTTGTTACAAATTTCGAAATATCTACCTGGTTGAAAATAAAAGCTATAAGTCAGGTGTGATGATACACATCTCTATTGTAGACAAAGGCAAGAAGATAGTAAGTCGAAAACCAGTGTAAGAATTTAGCTGTCTCAAAATAAAATAGTCAAGATAAAATTTCAAAAGGACCAGACTAGCTTAATGTGAACTTCCAGTGTTTAATTTCCAGTATCACAAAGTAATGCTAATAGTGTTCTGTAATAACTATCATACAGAAGCAGAGATGGCAATCACGAGATGATCCCCTTTGGAATATAATAGGTATAAATGAGCAATAATATAAATCCCCAAATTCACACACTTTTTAAAGTATAATAAACAGTAAACAAATGGTTTAAATATTTTAGTGAAACACTGTACATTTGTATAAATAAAAATGATGATATTACAAATTATAAGACCAAATTCTAATCCACTCTCCAGAAATTTAGTATCAAATACAGAGCTGCTTCATCTCATGAACATTTCTGTTCAAAAACATAAGCATTGTGCAAAGCTTTGCTTCTGTTTGTGAACTCCGCCTCAGGTGACCATTGTGACCTTGGTCATCTTTCCCAGAAGAGGGAAACAAATTAAGTTCATGAGCTGAGGTACCCCTGAGGGTGCATGTAGCATAATTTACTTCATATAAAAGAAGCACACAGTAAATATGAACATGTCTTCAAAGGAGTGTTTCTAACCACATTTAACTAAGTAAAAAACTAAATGTAAACATTGATATACTTCAATGAAAACGTGACATTAGCAATCTCAGAGTCAAATGTAAGACTGCAATACAGTGTGCTCTTTTATATGGGTCCTAAAGGTTGAGGGGTTATGCATTTTGAGGCTGCTCCTCCACTGTTTACTTAGCTACTCAAGGGAGGAAATATACTTTGCAAGGCTGTATTTTGTTTATAGGTGTTAATATGCATGTACAGTACCTTAGCTCTGGGTCATTTAGCAGAGTGTTCTCTTTCAAATAATTCATTTATTAACCTTGACTAGGAAAAGGTGGAAATGCCAGACTAAAACATTTTCATTTGCAAGCCTGGGCTTACCTACAGCAAATCTACATATGTTCTGATATACTTAGCAGTGAATGCAAGGCTGATTGGCAAACACAGAAAATCAATAAAGTTCATTTCCTTCATCTTCATATGTTTTAATATGCTACATGAATTTACTCATTTTTTATTCCTGCTGCTTTTTGGGTTTACCTTAGGTGTTCTGGCATACTAGACATATTTTAACAAGGGAAAAGCCTGGCGCAAAGAGGAAGTGAGTCAGTGAGGAGGCCCATTTTTGTTCAGTGGGAAAGTTACTCTGTTGCTGTAACTTTCATTAAAGCTAGTTTAGTCCGCCATAGTGTATGAGCAGTGTGGGATTCTCCAGGTCAATTATCTTTCTGTTGTTCTCAAAACGATCTGAATTCAAACTTGCACTTCTAAACTTATGAGAAGAAAATGATTTTAAAGG